CTTGAGTATAAGGCAAATTCCTGCTGTTTTTTTCCAAAAAGACTTTGCCATCTGCATGAAGAGGGGGGTGCAGGAGAGTGCCTGTACGAACCATTTCATGAATATTTAACATATCCCCCAAAAGCTATGAGGTCTCCCATGCTGCAATCCCCCTCCTGCGGTCCAGAGCACAAAGGCAGGGGCCCTACATTCCACACGGCTCAGGAGGGCAGGAGTGGGAGACAGGGGAGCTGAACACCATGTCCTTGCATTGATCCCGTTTTGGGGAGATCCTCCCCCACCAAGCCAAACATCAGTCGGTTTATTTTCCATGTCTCCTTCCCACCCAGTCGGTCTCAGTTCTTTGCACTGCTCCCCAGTGCTGTTAGCGCTTTCCAATCACACTGACATCATCCTGTTATTTCTAAGCCCAGCTCCCTCCCTCCCCTTTGATCTGCTGATGGTCTTTTCACCAGCACTACAAGGCCATCTGCTGCCTGCTCACCTACCCTTCAGCCTCCCCTCTTTCACTCCCATCCATTCTCAGTGTCTGTTCCAGGAACGTATCCCTTTGATTCTGTAACAGACTAGAAACGGGTGTAAGTTGAAGGCAGGAGAGGAGGGGGAAGGAGACAGAGAGAGAGAGAGAAAGAGAGAGAGAGGCATTCTTGCCATCCTACTGCCCTCTCATGGAATCATGAGCAAAGTGATTGTTGACAGCGAAACAGGGTAAAACAAACCACAGAATAAGCTCTCCATCTCAGGCTGCCGGGGCTGCCCAGAAGCGGGAAGAGGTGGGCAGCTCAGAGGACCCAAGGTCTATAAACTGGAACAAACGCCATTTTAAAGGGCATGGTAAGCAGAGGCAGCTCTGTCTGTCCTAAAACCCCCGTTCATCCCCACCACTAACCTTCCCCACCAGGATGAGCCCCAGTTCCTGCATGAGGTTAGAACACAGGAATTCAACACTCCATGTGGCAAAAAGAACTAAATCTGCTGGGATGCTAGAGATGGGGGTGGGGGTGGGGGGAGTGTATTTAACACCTCCCACTCCAGACATTTCTCCCCATCGCACTGGGTTGCCTATTTATATTAAAGAGGTTATAAAAAATATATTTAAAAGCTCCACTCCCCCAAAGAAGCATATAAAGATCAGAAGGGAAGCTTTTGAGAATCCAGGACATGTCAAAGAAGAAAATCCCTTTTTGTGTTGACATTTGTAAACTATTATAAAGGAAAAATTAACTAGCCCAAGTCAAAGCACATTATGATTGATCCACATCGGGATCTTCAATCCACCAGCTGAAGCGGGGATCCAGTGTCCACTCTACCCAGGACCTGGGAAAGCCCAGAGAAGAAAACAGCACAACACGACCTGCCAGGATACCCTCTGGTCCCAGCATAGCTCATTCATTCACTCACCTATTCATCCACTCAATCGCTCAGCAAAACATACCCACGCACTTCCTAAGTTCCAGGGAGCAGGCCAGGCTCCAGACACACAGACATGAACAGGGCAGAATCCTTACTCTCAATTTGCTCAGTCTTGTGGCCACTGCCCTCTTTCTCCAAAAGCCAGCGAGTCCTCCTGACACCTCATTCCTACTCATGGACATCCTTCCAGGCACAAAACCTGAGCCACTGATTCCATCAGCATCATAAGGTCTTAATGGCAGATGAGAAGAAATAAAGTTATCATTTCAGGGAACCAAAAACAGAAGGCTTTGGATTTAATGCCAACAGACCAGGCCCCATTCAGTGTCAAAGTAGAGCCAGATCAGGTTGATGACACTCAGAAAATGTGTCATGTGGCAGAAAGCATCAAAGTCATAATCAAAACATATCTGATTGGGCAGAGCCAAAAATGGTGACAGTTTCTGAGGCTACAGAGTGAGCCTAAGTATAACATGGGGCCTGCCCAATGGCTAGAGCTGGGTCACCTGGGAGAGCCCACCTACACCTAGGTGTCAGCCAGCATTCTCAACCTCAGCCCACCTGGGACCTTCCCCCTAGCTCTCAAGGTGAGCTGAAGACCAAGAAGTAAGAGTCAGAAACAATAAGACCGACCAAGAAGTAAGAGTCAGAAACAATAAGACCGTGGAAAGGGATGATAAGAACATAAATAAAAGATAATAAGGAAACATTTAAATCCATGATACGGGCACTGTTGTTTCACTGGTCAGTTTTGTGGTCATTCTAATAATTGTGAGTGATCTCTTTCAGTTCAAAGTCTTTAAAAGAATTTTCTACTTTGTGAAAAGTTTAACTGACCTTGCAATCAATATTTCAATGTCTGGGGAAATCTGAGTTGTTGACTTCATGATTTATTGGTTGTGTGGAATACTTTGGACATACTTAGAGAAAGCTTAATTGTTAAAAATTAATAAATTAGACAGTAGACCAAGAACAAATAGTAGGGAATGTTCTTTTTCAAGTAGAACAACGTACTCGGGTTTTTTAGTTATTAGGACGACACGATGAGTTTCAGGTTTTGTTTGTTTGAAAGAACATTCTGGGACTTCCCTCGTTGCGCAGTGGTTAAGAATCCTCCTGCCAATGCCGGGGACACAGGTTTCGAGCCCTGGTCTGGGAAGATCCCAGATGCCGCGGAGCAACTAAGCCCGTACGCCACAACTGCTGAGCCTGCGCACTAGAGCCCGCGAGCCACAACTACTGAGCCAGCGTGCAGCAACTACTGAAGCCTGCATGCCTAGAGCCCGTGCTCTGCAACAAGAGAAGCCATCACAATGAGAAGCCGGCGCACTGCAACGAAGAGTAGCCCCCGCTCACTGCAACGAAGAGTAGCCCCCGCTCACCGCAACTAGAGAAAAGCCCGCGTGCAGCAACAAAGGCCCAACCCAGCCAAAAATGGAAGGAAGGAAGGAAGGAAGGAAGGGAGGGAGGGAGGGAGGGTGGAAGGGAGAGAAAATGAATCAGTTCCTCTCTGCATTGGAAAGAGATGAGAAGCAGCAGGACTGCTGGGGGGATATTCCGGAAGCTAGTCCCATCCATATTCTGCATTTCCCAGGCCTTGTGCCTTTGCTCAAGCTGTCCACCTGCCTAAAACATCCCTTCCACCCCCACGTCTAAAACTTCCCTACTCTTCAAGACCAGAGTCAAATGTTGTCTCATCCAAGTTCTCCCTCATCTCTGGGCAGGTAATTTCTCTGCCCTCAGAACTCCTCCAAAGAGTGTACCTGTGCTCGAGCTCTTTACACACCTGGCCCTGCTTTACAGTTTCCTAAATATTCATTTATTCAACATGTACTAAGCGCTCACTAAGCACAGAGTGCCCAGCATCCTTTCTCTCCAACTGCACACTCCCAGAGGCCCTCCCAGGCCACTCCTTACCAGTGCTGGGATCGACCACAGCACAGCTGCCGCCACACGGCCAGCATTAGACAAATGCTAAGCATCTGGATGGCATTACACCTCTGTTCAAAACCTCCCATGGCTCCCAGTGCCGGTGTAACCCAGTCCCAACTTCTCAGCTGGCACTCAGGTCCTCCACGACCCAGCCCAACCTACCTCCACAGCCCCATTTCCCCACTCCTCTCCCACACGCGCCCTAGGCTCCAGGCAAAGGAGACACCCTCGTGCTCTGCTCCTGTGCAGTGCCCTGCAGCTGGAGCGCTCCCTCACCACTCGCCTCTGCTAGTCAGGTCCCACCCACCATCCTTCCTGGCTCACCTCAGATGTCAGATTCTCAATAAGGCCTTTCAAACGGACAGGAGACCCTGACATCTCCCCAGCCACAACACTGTGTTTTACCACCCTGAAGGCGGCACTGCATTCCACTCCGAGTCCCAGCTACGTAAGTCTCTCTTTTATGAGACTGTAAACTCTTTGAGGGCAGGGATCACAGCTAACTGAGGTGTGCGTGGCCAATAGCACCTAGCAAAGTGCCTCATGTAGAAACATTCAATAAACGGTGGTTATCTGAGAAATGAGTGAATGGATGAATTCCTTTCCCTGCTTGTGCTTCCCCAAACCCCAGAAATCCCATCTGGACAGGACTGGGACAAAATGGTACTCTTTCCAAATAAGTCTCCCACAAGGAGAAAGGCTTAAGAAGGAAGGAGGGGGACTTCCCTGGTGGTCCAGTGGTTGAGACTGCGCACTCCCAATGCAGGCGGCCTGGGTTCGATCCCTGGGTCAGGGAACTAGATCCCGCATGCCGCAACTAAAGATCCCGCATGCCGCAACTAAGACCCGGCGCAGCCAAATAGATAAATAAATAAATATTTTTTTAAAAAAAGAAAGGAAGGAGGGACCTGCCAGGCTGAGGCATCTGCCTGCAGGGGCTTCAGGCTCTTACCTCATACTCGAAGTCACCCCCCAGTGCCCCGATGTCCAGGTGCAGGTTCTTAAGAAGCTCACTTGAGCTTCGGACACTCTGAAAATGAAAACGATGGCAAGGAAACTGGTCAGCCCAGGGGGCCGAGAAGCTCCTCACTGGTTATACTTTCTGGGTCAGACCCAGCAGGTATACAGACTGAGCAAGGAATGAAGCTGTGGGCTGGAAAATCATTTTCACTTATTTTCAAAGTAGCACAGAAGTTAGCCAAAAGGTAAAGACAGCTCAACTATCCACCAGCAGATGAACGGCTAAACAAAATATGGTATATTCATACAATGGAGTATTATCCAGCCACATGTGCTACAACATGGATGAACCCTGAAAACATTATGCTACATGAAAGAAGCCAGACATAAAAGGACAAAGACAGTATGATTCCACTTATATGAAATATCTAGAATAGGCAAATTCATAGAGACAGAGTAGATCAGGGACTGGGGAGAGGGGAGGATGCAGAGCTTTGTTTAAAGGGTACAGAGTCTCTCTGGGATTATGAACAAGTTCTGGAGATGGATAGTGGTGATGACTGTACAACAATGTGAAGGTAGTTAAGGTCACTGAACTGTACACTTAAAAGTGGTTAAAATGGTATACGTATTTGACCACAATTTAAAAAAAAAATTTTTTTTTTTATAGCACAGAGGGTTTCCAGGCCAAGAAAAGGATTCATTCTTACCTGGTTGTCACTCTCCGCCTCATCCTCTTCATTGGTCTCCTCTCCTAAAGCCAAGAGGCTGAGAGCATTCTTGTCCTCATGGATGGAGCCCAGGAGACCCTTTGTATACACAGAAGTCTTGAGACCCTGTGAAGGCTCCAAAATAGAGAAGGAAAACCAAGGCACTTACAGGGAAGACCCTCTGCCTTCTCCTCTCTCTTTCTGTTTAGATGGCTCCCAGAGCAAGCCCACCACCTCCAGGAAGCTGACCCCAGCAGCTCCAGCTCACTGATCCCTCCCTGTCCAACTCCTGCTGCCCTGGCTGCAGGGACTGGGAAATCACCACTGCAGTCCCTATGCCCTGGGTCCATCCTCCACCACCCAGAGCCCCTGTTCAGCATCCTCCAGGTGTGACTCACCTTCCCCACTAGATTATGAGCATTGAGGACTCAGCCCGTGCCCTCTATTTCTCATCCATGGGTCACGGTTCCTAGCATGGAACATGGAGGCCCCATGGTAACTACACTGAACACAAGAAAAAGCATTTACCAGTGAGAGTTCTCCATGCTGACCAGACTCCACCGAGCTCCCCAGGCTCACACTTTGAGATCCACGAAGAGCGGAGGGCGGGGCATCCACCAGGCCCCTTAACGGGGCCAGACCCCCGACAGGAATGTGGAGGGGGGCTAACGGGGAGCCCAGGGCCTGGGCAACAGAAAACATCCTGTTACAAACCCAAGAAACCACAGGGCTCTGAGAATGTGGAGATGGATATAAAAATAAAACTTCTAAATCCTGCCCGCTCAAATTTAAACCGCCTCCGTTCAGAGGCTGCTAATGAAACACAACATCCAAAAATTACCATTGTGCCAGCCGTGTGAGAATCACGGGCTGGTTTCCTGATTCTCGTAACTCTGTGCACGTCTCTCAGCAAATGGCTCTTTCACATCTGGCAGATACTGCAGAGGACTCTGCTCTCCCTCCGAAGCCACAGAGGAAGTTAGGGGGTTGGGGGGAAGAGAGACAAAAGCCTCATCTACCAGCATGAGAAGTCTCAATAAAGTTGAAAACGGATGAACCAAGAAAAAGCAGTCTAAGCATATTATTTACAAATATGGAAGCAAACACTGGAAGAGAGTCGTTGCCTCTGGGGAGGGGTACCCACACCCGAGAAATGCTATATTTCGTTCTATGCCTTTTGGTTCGACTTGACATTGTTTAATAACATGGGCATGTATTACATCAATTAAAATAAATATTAACTATGAAAAATACACATGAGCAACAAAAGAACTCTCTTTCCGTTCTCCACTGATGAGGAAAGGGGCTGGAGGGAGCCTCGCCAGAGGACTGTGCCGGCCCCTCCTTTGCCCTGTTCTTAGGATGGCCAAATGAAGGCTTTGTGCCAGTGAAGACTGGGGAAAGAAACCAACTGGGTGGCAGAATTTGTGAGACCTTGGGTCCTCACGGACTCTTGGATTCTCAGTTTACTCATCTGCAAGACAGAGATGATGTGTGTCTTGCTACTTAAGAAGGTTTGTTGAGAAATTCAAATGAGATACTGACAGCAAGGAGCACCTGTGTGTGGCCCAGGGCTACACCAGCGCTGTGGAATTGCTATCATTACAGGGATTCACATCACAGTAGTCTGGGCTTAGAAGCTGAGGCAGGATAGCATTCTGGGGACAGTTTACAAAGAGCTCTTTAAATATCCTCAAACTTAAATTGTGTATAAAACAACACAAAAATTCCATTCCTCTCTAATCCCATGGGGACTGAAGAAAGGGGAAGCTGAGGAGGTCAGGCAGAGTTCAGGTGGCCCATCTTCTCACCCGCAGCTGGGCCTGGGGCCAGACCACCGGGTGGGCTCTGAACACGACCCATTTCTGCATGGGAAGGGCATCAGATGCTTATCTGAAAGGTGACACAAGACCCCCTCCCAAACCTTTGAAAGTTCCCAGTCACCTGGCCTGTTGCAGGGTATCTTCATTAGGCAGAAAAGGAGCTGATAATAAAAAAGTTGGCCAACTTTGCCTGAGCCCTGGGCACCGGGGTAAGTGCCTGTCTCATTTCACTGTCAAAACCATCGGAGGCCACAGTCCCCACAAGAGCAAACGGAGACTGGTGAGGTCAAGACCCCTGCCCCAAATCATAGGGCCTGCAATGACGGCAGACAGGGCAATCTCTTAGCCGGTATTGTACACTGCCTCCTGGCTATGGCGGAAAAGGAGCCCAGGAAATCTGCTCTGAGGTGAACTGTTAGCAAACCCAGCCTGCTCCCCCCAGCCAGCCCAGTGGATCAGCGAGTAAAATTCTTCCCGTACTATATTTATGGAAAATTACAGACTCCTAACATGGCTAATTTGCTAATGTGCTGGGGGCCTGAGGGAGGGAGACAGACCCGCTGAGGGCTTTGTTCTCCCAGGCCTTTACCAAATCAGCAGTTAGCAGGGAAATTATGCATCCCTGGCTCCTAGCTGATCACACACTATCGGCTGTGCGTGGCGTTGTCCTTCAGAGAGGATAAACTTGCAGCCATTGGGCTAATTAAAACTTTCAGGATAATCTGCAGCTTATCTGATATTTATAGTGCTACAGTAGTTATTAGAGCTAACGGAGAACCAGGGCACCCCAGCAATTAGGAACCGAGGTAACAACTTGGCAAAGCCACAGCTGGGCAACAGCAAAAGAATAGCCGGGGAAATGCAGATCGACCCCCATGGTGGTCTGTGATCCAATTTGACTTCTGAATGAAGCAAGTGGTGACTCCTTAAAGGGAAAAAGAGTCAGAATGACAGGGCAAGCCCAACCCTTTGGTAGATCCCAATAGGGGAGGAAGTGAAGGCCCACGCGGTCAGCACAAGCCTGACACAGGTTATTCACATGGTTCTGGAAACCCTGGGAAGCAAGGAGCAGAAGCAGCTCACTGAACGGCAGAGAGAGCCTGGGCTTCAGCCTCTCATGACAGTGTTAACTCTCTAGTTCTGTGTGATTCCCAGAAGGGACTAAGTTCAGAGGCTGGGGGTAGGGTGTCTACTTGGGAGGACCTCTCCATAACCAGCGGATGGGGAAGGCTTCCCAAATCCTGGGACAGTACCTATATCTTGCATGAGTGCCAGGATAAGTGCCACCTTGCTCACCCTCAAAACTGAGCATCTTCAGAGCACGTGAACCACCCACGAAGTGCAGTTAGGTCAAGGGAAGGCAAATCTAGATACCCTCAGCCCCCATCTGGCAGGCGATGGGGCAGAAGAAACAAGGACTGCATGTCATCCCACAAGATGGCCATCCTGGGTGGTTAAGGCATCAATAGTTACCAAGCAAGGACAGATAACAGGAAAGCAGACCTGCTGGCTGTGTTAGGGTGTCAGCTCAACCTGCTCCCTCCCTGTCAAGTTCACTGAGCCTGAAGGCCGTGCTCTCTAAGAAGCCTACCTGGTTGAGAAGCTGCATCTTGCCTGGCTCTGGAGCAAGCCCTCTGCTGGAACTCAGCTTGACCAGCCCCTGCCTGAGGGGGCTGCTGCTTGGCCGGAAACGAGCTTGCTGAAAGGCCTCCTGCCCAGCCGGGGCACCGGCCACCTTCTGAGGACGCTCCCGCATCTCTGGCCCCCAAGACAGAAACCTGGAGCCCATGGCTCTGATGGCCTCGTGCTCGCCCTCACTAGACATCCTGGAAGACTCGGCTGCCAGGCGGCAGACCACGCTGGCAAGGTCTCCGCACGGCCTGTCCCGCGCGCTCTCGGGCGGCCCCGGGCCCTCCAGCCGCCTGGAGAGCTTGAACGTCTGCAGGATGTGCTGGTAGAACCTCTGGTCCTCAGAGTAGTCTTCACTCTCTGACTGCTCCTCAGCAGAGCTCTGCGTGTGGGACAACTGGGGCACCAGGAAGGGGCTGGGGTGCTGCTCCCTGGGTCCGGGGCCTGACTGACCCACACCCCGCTCAGACCCCCGTGAGCTCTGCAGGTCCCACGGGAAGTTGGTCACCTCCCCCAGGACCTCAGAGCCCAGGTGAGAGGCCAGGCTGCTGCTGCTGCTCTCCAAGTCAGGCCCAAACCTGCCCAGCCTCCTGTCTTCTTCAGGGGGCTCCAGAGAGCCTGGGGGTGGTGTCTTCTCACTAGCAGGAGACCCTCGAGGGGCCTGCGAGGCGACTGCAGGGGCGCTCTGGGCTGATTCTGAGACCAGGGTATCAGGGGGTATTAGCAAGAGCCCCTGAGGTGGACCTTTGGCTGAGGCCCCTGGAGCCTCAGGGTCTTCGGGCTCTATTTTCTTGCTGCCCCAAGGGGCGTCCTTGTGGACAAGCTTGGAGACATGTCTCATCCACAATCCCGGGGGCTCTCTCCTCCTCCTGCCCTTGCCCATGCTGCCCCCTTCCCCAGAAACGCCCTGCCAGCTCTGGTCTTCAGCTGGGCTGCTGACTAACAAGAACGGCTTGCTCTTCCTGGCAGGCAGCATGGGGTCAGAAGAACAAAGGGACAGGGAGGGATCCTCCTCAGGGGACGGCGAGGGAATGGGGCTCTGGCCCTTGTCCCCCCCGGGGCCAGTGGAGCTCCGCTTGGCCATGTTATGGCTGTGCTGCTCCCCTTTCAGCTGCAGGCCCTTGAGGGCTTCCGAAAACTTCGAGTGGGCCAAGGCCTGGCTCCTGCTCTCTAACACGTCCTGCCCATTCCGGAAGGGCCCGCTGTGGTCAGGGCCCAAAGCGCCAGGTTTCTGCTGTCTGGTCCTCATTTCCAGCTCTTCTATTTCAGGGTCTGAAAACCCCAGGTAGATTTTCTCTGTCGCCTGCTGGGTTTTCTCCAGACCCTGCTGATCACCTAATTCTGTCCTGCAGTGGGCTGGGGCCCTGCCTAAGATTTTCTCCACGTCGGCAAAGATCTGGTGGGTTCGGGAAGCTTGGCCCTTGAGTGGCTGTAGCTTGCTGGGCAGGGAGCCCGTGAGAGACCTAGGGGTGTCAGCCAGCATACGTGGGCTCTTCCCTTTCTTAAAGGAGCCCTCACTTCTAGCCTGCATCTCTTGGTCTAGGTCCAGATCAGCCAGCCCAGGTGCTGAGAGAGGGGATGGGCCACGGAGAAAGGAGGAAGAAGGCAGAAGTCCCTGCTCAGGCTGTGTTTCCTAGATGGGTATATAAACAGGCAGAGAAAACTAAGACAAAGCACTTCTGGTTTCTACTTGCTACCTTAGCCCTTGGCAAACCCTTAGCAGAAACCCACCCTCCATTTAAAGAAAAACAAACCCATGAGGGAAGAAAAGCTAAAAACTCCCCGATTTCTGGGCCCTAGTTTCCTTATCTATAAAGAGGAGGTTCAACGAGATCAATGGCTTACAAACCTTGCGCCATGGAACCCACATATTGGTTCCGCCTGGTACCTTGGGGGCTGCTACGGTGGGCATGTGACAGGGAACAGGCATCACCAAGACCCACACCCCCAGGTTCAACCAGAGCAGCTCCACTTCTTTATCCACTGGCCCTCTACAGGAGAACTGATATGAAGACAGGGTTCCATTGCTAACAAAAGTCTGAAAATCACCAACTAGATTAGCCCAAAGGTACCATCAAGCTCTCAATTCTGTGATTGGTTAATTTCATAAAATCCACCATCCTTATCAAGGACTATCAGAAAGAGCCTAAGAAGGGAGGAAAGAGGGGAAACATAAGCAGTGAACCGAGCCTTGGGAACTTGGACTAGGTCTTCTACCAAAGGCAAGAGTTGGTACTGCTCAAGAGAGGTCCACACAGTCAGGGAACCTCGGGGTAGACAAAACCGTAAAAGATCAACCACATCCTGCAAACATTCACCCTAAACTCCACCCAGCTCTCCTCCAGAGAGCCCAAACCACCTGAGCCCGGTCGCCCACCTGGTCAGGCCTGCCCCTGGACAAACTCTGGTTTGCGCCTGTCCTGGGCCCTAAGATCCAGACTGGCAGCCCAGGGCAGTCCACTTGCCCTCAGCTCCTGAAACCACAGGAGGAATCCTTTTTAACAGGGAGCTCCAGGAACTCAGTCACACACCCAGAGCTCAGTCTATTACCCAACCCTCCACCCCAGAACCCTCACTTCATTCCCTCTCTCACCTTCAGTCATGCCAGAGCCTGCCCAGATGCTGATTATGATCTAAAATAGTCTGGGGTTAGTGAAAAGCCCATTATACATCTTTTACCTTTCAAACACATGCCATTAGAAAATTCAGCCTCTTTGGAAATTACCTATTCTCTTTTCTCCACCTGGAAGAATGGACTTGCTGTCTTATTTCTCAGAACCATGATTAGTAATATTGGGGTGGGGGGGGGAGTAACTGTAGAGCTTGGAAATGATTAAAAGGGATAAATTCATCAGCTACTATCCAATGTCAGAACTGACACCTTGCAAAGGAAGGAAGACGGAGGAAATCTTCACTGAGAAGAAAGCACCAGGCACCAGTGGGAAATAAAGACTATAAATAAGAGAGCAAATCAACTCGACCATTAAGAGGGTTGAAAAGGTATTCCCAGTGTTCCCCATCTGGCTAAACTGGGTTCCAAAGTCCCTCCCTCTCCTCAATGTGGCCCACCTGCCTCACATCTGGAGGGACAAATAGAATGATAATCGGAAAGATAACTTTCAACTCTGAGTAAAAAAGCTACTTGGGACCAAGGTGATGACACTGCAATCAAATGTCAGTTATCCACCATGAACCGAGGACACCGACAGCAAAGGCCATCCACAGGGCCAGATAAAGCCTCAAGCTTTTCTTTCTGGATCTTGAAGGCACTGATGTTCTGACAACTGAATTATGGCTCATCAAACATCTAGGAATTTGCACCACTGAGACACATGAAGAACCCACACGAGGAAAGCCTGGCTCAGAAAGGAGAGGAGAGGCACTCGCTCCTCTGGGTTCTCTGGCCTCCGCCAAGTGCTCCCTGTGCCTCGACTATCCAGAGGGGCAGACGGCGTCACTGCAAAACCCCATCCTCAGCAGGGCACCCACTCACTAATCCTATTATGTCATATGTGCCTCCCAAGGGGGAAAAAGAAATTGCTTAGAGATAGTAACCACTTCTAGAAGCCTGAAAGGAAAATTTGCCAGAAGACAGGCATAATTCAGATGAGGCACTATCAAAAAGTTACTATATTATTGTTGTTATTCTTAACCTCCCAGCTGTAAACAGCTAGAGGTTCCTGATATCCCTCAGGTTTCAGGCCTGGCCTCTCTGAGAGCTGGCATCCACTGACTCACCAGGGGACTTTTGGAGGTCTCTTTGTCCTTCTTGTCTTTCTTTTCCTTTTTCTTTTTTTTCTTCTTAATGGCCCCAGGAGTGGACAGTTTCCCCCGCTCTTGGATCACCAAGTTCCGATAGTGCTCATCACAGGGATGGTCCCACATGGACTGCCCGTTGGCAAAGTTGAAATAGTAAATATCACCTGTGATGTCCTGGCTGGGGATGAGCAGAGGTCACAGGTTAGTCCCTGCTCAGGTCCAAAGCTACACAGGAAAAAAAAGAAGAAAAATGGCAAGGAGGCAGAGAAGAAGGAAGAACTGTGGGGAGAAGGGGAGAGAGAGAAAAGGAAGAAGAGAGGAAAGGAGTAACACAACATGGAAGGGTAGGGACTTTCCTTATGGTCCAGCGGTTAGGAATCCGCCTTCCAATGCAGGAGACGTGGGTTCGACCCCTGGTCAGGGAACTAAGCTCCCACATGCCTCGGGGCAACTAAGCCCGCGTGCCACAACTAGAGAGAAGCCCGTGCGCTGCAACGAAGAGCCCGCACCACAACAACGACCCAGTGCAGCCAAAATTAAAAAAATAAAAATTGACGGGTACCATTTGGCTAAGAATAAGGAGTTTCCTTAGATAGAAACAGATGATTGGGATACCTAAGGACTTCTCTAGATGGAGACGTTTAATTGTTAAGGTTCCTGAGAATTCATGGTAGACTAGAGCAGGAATAAACTTGGTTTTAGATGGATAAATACAAACACTAGGGTACCATGGAGATAAATTCTGGGATAGAACTTGCTTAATATTTTCATAAATAAAGTCTAAAATAAGCCATTCAACCCACCCACCATTATCAGTAATCCATCAGGACAGCTAATAGAAAAAAAAAAAAAAATCACAATAGCAATATAAAGGATGCAATACCCAGGAATAAATCCAAAGTGTGCAAAATCTTCATATAGCTTTATTGAAAATTCAGGGGAAGAAAAAACAATTGGAGAGACACCCAGTGTTCCTGAATAGAAAGATTCAAGTCTGTAAACATGCCAATAATCCTCAAATTAATGTATAAATCCAATACAATCCCAATCAGGCTCCTTATGAAATTTGACAAGCTCAATCTTAATTCAAATAAAAGAGAAAATATGCGGTAAAACAGGAAAAATATCAGAGGTAAAAGATAAAAAGACATACAAATGGCCAAGAAGCACATGAGAAGATGCTCAACACCACTAAAGATTAGGGAAGTGAAAATTAAAACTACAATGAAATGTCACTTCACACCCGTTAGCATGGCTATTATCAAAAAAGCAGAAAATATGGGCATTCCCTGGCAGTCCAGCGGTTAGGACTCTCACTGCTAAGGGCCCGGGTTCGATTGCTGGTTGGGGAACTAAAATCTCACATGCTGCAGGGCGTGGCCAAAAAAAAAAAAGAGCAGAAAATAACAAGCGCTGGCAAGGATGTAGAGAAACTGGAACCCTGGTGCACTACTGGTGGGAATGGAAAATGGTGTAGCCACAGTGAACACAGTATGACAGTTCCTCAAAAAATTAAAAATAGAATTACCATTTGAACCAGAAATTCCACCTCTGGATGCATACCCAAAAGAACTGAAAGCAGAGATTCGAACAGACATTTGTACACCATGGTCACAG